CTCTTTGGGATATAGTACTGACTCCGAGCCTGATGAAGAATCTCCCTCGTCCGATGTCCACCTAGACGCCGACGGGAATTACGACCAAGACACCCAGCTCTTCTATAACAACGATGCTATCCAACCATCTTCAGAAGAGCTTCAAGTGCCCGAAAACCGTGAAAGGCTTGAGTGGCATAGCATGTTGGCATCTGTGTTGAAAGGCGATGTCGTTAAGCAGGAGAAGGCACGGCTGATAGGCAACACAGAGCAGAAAGGAGAGGAGGTGCTCAAAAACGAGCTATGGTTGGGTGTCCGGGCGAAGGTGTGTGGGCGGACTATACCTGCACAGCGGCGAATGATAGACGAAGGTCGAGGGGGCATCATACCCATCATCGAGGCAATCATCGCATTCCAGGTCAAGGGTGAAACTGAAGTGGGAATGCCAGCGGCAAAACAGGTTCTGGATGTCGTACACAAGATCGAACAATGCGAAAGGTTGTTTCCTACGCGAAAAGCTCTCGGGATCGCCATTGAGCGTGCTGCCTCGACTGCATTCATCGAGAGCTCTGAAGCTGTCATCTCTTGGCACAATACGACGGAAATGATCAACACAGAGCTTGCCGTCTTGCGAGGCTGGGTTGGGAATGAGGAGCTGGACTTTGCAAAGTCGACGACCCAAGCTCCCGATGGATCTGGACTGGCCGACGACTCGACGTTCCTCGAAAGGCTCCATAAAGATGAAGGTCTTACGTCTTTGCAGGGCGACGATGAGGGCAAACACAGCATGCTAGCTCCAGTAGCAGAGGTCATCAAGAAAGCCAAGACGATGCTCATCATGAACGCCACTCAATTCGCTAAACGCCATCTGCCTCCTTACATCGAAGAGTTGTTGACTCTCATCAATTTTCCCTCACGGCTCATCCAAGAGATCATCCGGATGCGACTGCGATTTGCTACCAAGATGAAGGATCCAGCCACACTGACACCAATGATGCAGACCTCGATGATCTCCCAATTTCAAATATTGCTGAAATTAGCTGTGCGAATTAAGCAAGACTATACCGTCCTATCTCAGCCAGAAGCCGGCTGGGAGCTGCCTCCCTGCATTGACGATAACTTCGACCTCGTGGTCCTGGACGCCTTGAAGTTCTACTTCAAAATGTTGAATGCAAAGCTCGTGGGAAATAGGAACACCTTCAAGGAAGCCGAGATTCTCGAACAAGAATGGGATTTTTGCAACGACATAGGACGATTTCTTGAGGGAGGCGATGTCGAGGTCGCCGAACAATTCAGCGGACTGACAGCCAAGGCCTTGCAACGTCTCACCACGCACTTCGAGCGAGAACTGACAAGGAGGCCTGAAGAGAACGCTCTAGATATGGACAAGCGGTATAAACAAATACTGGATTCTGTCCGCGTTCGTCAAAGAAAGTTGTTCCGTTTCTCGAGGCATTTGGGGATTCGCTTCGAGAATGCCACCGAGTTCAATATTTCCTTCGGAAGGCAGCAACTGCAAAGCTTCTACGATGCTCTTATCGATTCAGATCATTTCCTCATCTCCAGTCCCGCCTTTCAACACGATGGCATCTTTCTCATAGCATCGCCGTCCTTGTACGATCGGCCCCGGGATATACAGTCACTACTCGGAACGTCTTCTCATGGGGATGCAAAAGACTTGGAGGATATTTCGGAAATGTATGTCTTGATCATCCGGCCGGATGAGCCTTTGTATTGGGATGGCAAAAAGGTAGAGATCACTATGCGCGCACCCTCAATGGATATCAGACCTGGGCGCTTGCGTCTTGTAGCAGACGGGTCCTTACCACGGCTACAAATCGCACGAACTGCTTTCCTCCAAGCCATAGGCATGAAGCTCGATATCTTGACGGATCTGCGAGCCAATTTGCCAAGAGTCAACATGGAGCTCGGTAAGATCAAAAAGACTGCTTACAAGCTTTCGAACACTATCATGGAGAGCGTTGAAATAATCAGAAAGCAGACCGAAGGTCTTGAGAACCAGGAACTTATACAGACCTGCTTTGCATTCGCCACTGAATTTGGGAAACGATCTGTGGCCTATATGGACGTCAACCGACGTTTGATGAACAACTTGAAGCTCACTAGGCTTGCATTGGACTGGGTGAGCTTCATCTGCGATGATTGTGTACCATCAGACCGAAAGACGTTCAAATGGGCCGTAGTTGCTCTCGAATTCGCTATGGTCATGACGACTGGACCGAACATCCTCTCAATTACCGACGGCGAGTTCAAGCGATTACGGACTAAGGTAGCTGGATGTATGTCGCTGTTGATATCACACTTCGATATAATGGGAGCCAAGTCGACGTTAGCCGCTCAGGCAGAAAAGCAAAGGGTCGAAGCAGTGGCAGGGCAGTTCCGAAAAATGGACATTAGCAGGATGAAGAACGATGCAGAAGCTTCAGAGTTTGTCCGCGAACAATGGCTTGCTCAGTTGAGCGAGATTGATGAGGCCAGGAGACAGAAGAACGCAGAACGACAGGCATTGGGCCGCGTTATGGAAGAGTCAAACGACGCCGACCGCTCGTTGACTTACCTTTCATCCTCGGCTACCAACGTCAGTATGCGATGGCAACAAGGCCAGTTTGTTGGCGGTGGAACTTTTGGATCGGTATACGCAGCCATCAACCTTGACACAGGATACCTGATGGCTGTCAAAGAGATTCGATTGCAAGATCCACAGCTCATCCCAACCGTGGCTGGCCAAATCCGTGATGAGCAGGCCGTTCTCGAGGTCCTCGACCACCCCAACATTGTATCCTACTTCGGCATAGAGGTCCACCGAGACAAAGTCTATATCTTCATGGAATATTGCTCTGGCGGTTCCTTGGCCAATCTCCTTGAGCACGGGCGTATCGAGGACGAGACAGTGGTCCAGGTTTACGCACTGCAGATGTTGGAGGGTTTGGCATACCTCCACCAATCTGGCATCGCTCATCGCGACATTAAGCCTGAGAGTAAGTTCCATGTTCATCAAGTTCTTTGCAACTATCACTAACCACTTGACCACATAGACATTCTGCTTGATCACAACGGCATCATCAAATACGTCGACTTCGGCGCCGCCAAAGTCATTGCCCGCCAAAACAAAACCCTCCAGCCCACCAACGAAACACCACTCGCCGCCGCAGGCGCTCCCGGCCTCCCCAAAGTTCCGGCAAAACAAAAGTCCATGACCGGCACTCCAATGTACATGTCCCCCGAAGTCATCAAAGGCTCCAACGAAGGCCGTCTCGGTTCGATAGACGTCTGGTCCCTCGGCTGCGTGATCCTCGAGATGAGCACCGGGCGGCGTCCCTGGGCGAGCCTCGACAATGAGTGGGCCATCATGTACAATATCGCCCAGGGCAACCCGCCACAGCTGCCTAGTAGAGAGCAATTGAGTGAGCAGGGCATAGAGTTCCTGAAGAGATGCTTCGAGCGCGATCCGAAGAGGAGGGCCAGTGCGGCGGAGCTGTTGCAGTGCGAATGGATTAGCACCATCAGGGAACAAGTCGTGCCGAAGGAAAACGGGGGGTCCGATGGTAGTGGCTCGAGCAGTGCGCACAGCTCGAGGCACAACTCAAGTCACTGGCAATCAAGCGAAGAAGAGGCCTAAGGATCTGACTATCATCGGCGGGTCCACGAAGCCCTTACCCCGCCGACAGCGTAGCCGAGCTGGACGTGCGCGAAGAGATTGCTAAACCCTCGGTGCTCGGTGCAAAAGACCGCTGTCTCTCGTATGACCGTTGACCCGCCGCAAACGGTTCGGCAGACCGCCACTATTGGCCTAGGCGGACTCCTCATTCCAGCACCTGCGATGCCCGGGCCACTTGCGACGCGCTCACGATCTTCACCCACCACCATCTGTGAAACGACGAAGCCGGCGGGCTCACCGAAACTTTACTTCTAAGCATCAATCTTTAAGTGCAGATACCGAGCGTTGGCGTTGCATTAGTCTGATCGTTTTCTTTCCAGATCGTCTCGCGATTGCGAGACTGCACTTTTCCCGTCCGTGCTTCTCTTCGGGCACAGATTGCGAGGAACATTTTAGCCGACGACGGATTTGACGATCGTGGAGGGTCAAGGTAGATAGCGAGTACAGATAAGGAGAAGCGCGGCGAGCGGTTGAGGTTGTGACGCTGAGGAGTGAATGGAGGGGCTCGCGAAGTACTCGTACATGCAGCGACGGGGAGGCAACTAAGGCTGGCATACATGATGCACAATGCGAGATTCATTCGACGAGACAACGTCTCAATGCACGCTCCAGCATTTCCTGTGCCCCAATGGTACCATTGTGAGTGTCAGTAGGCCCATCGGCCTCGACTGCATGCTGGCTGTACGTAGAGCATTACATTAGTCCACAACCATTCACGCGCAAGTGATTTGCGACTGACGTGGTTGTGCGAAACATTGCATGATTTTGATCGAGTCGCTATCCGGTATCCCCCAAGCTAAATGGAACCCAAGCCCTCATGAGAGAATACACCAATGCCAGCTATCGATGGCCATCCAGTATGCTTCTGCTCCCTTCCAAATGTGTAATTACAAAACGATTGTAGGTATGCCTGTGTCCAGAAACGAAGTTGACAACAAATGACATGACACGGTCAATGCAATAGGTCCACCCGGTTCCCTTTTCCCTAGGTGTGTACAAGAAGTTTAACGCTGGTTGTTTTGTGATGTGGTGATTTCCTATTCGCACGGTGCTGTGATCCAGTGCGAAGAAGATGATGAAATTGGTACTGTGCCGTCGTCAGTGCGACAAAGATGATAGAATATGATGTTTGATGGGTGCTGGTGTAAGGGGTATCCATTTCGTGCTCAACTTGACGCTGTGCCGAATATGCTTGATCTCCGTCGAATGCTTGCGTAAGAAACAATAGTGTAAGAGGCCAAAAAAGCAAACACAAGCAAAGTGCGAAATGCAGTCATACAATTCCATCACCATGACCCATAACGCATCACATCATCCTTCGTCTCGAAGATTTGTAGTCTTTTCAGTATCCAGTGCTAGCGGGATACCCCTGCCCTCCTGGCTGATGTCCCCACTGTTGTTGCTGCTGAGGTGGCGGTGCCCAGCCCTGCATCCCCGCTTGCTGCGCGGCCGTCGTCTGTTGATGCAGGTACTGCTGCTGACTTGGACTGGCGCTCTGCGGCGGGTACATCGCTCTTACTCCCGCCATTGCTGCAGCTTGCGAGTACCCTCCAGGCGGGCCGGGCATGCCGGGCATGGTCTGGTAGCTTACGCCGCCGTGCATGGAACCACTGCTCTGGCTGTGATGGAGCTGTGGTTGTGGATGTCCTTGTTGTGGGTGAGGTGATTGGGAAGGGTGGTGGTGTTGCTGTGGCTGTGGCTGTTGCGGCTGCGGCGGTGGCTGCTGCTGCTGTTGCTGTTGCTGTTGCTGTTGCTGTTGCTGTTGCTGTTGCTGTTGCTGCTGCTGCTGCTGCTGTTGTTGTTGTTGGAGTTGCGGCGGTTGTTGGTGATGGGAGGAGGGACTATAGTGAGGCAGATTGGGGTGGTGGGACGAGAGGGGGGATTGTTGAGGTTGGGGGTGTGGGGGTGGATGGCCCCACATCTGAGATTGGGGAGGATAACCGTATGGGGACGTTTGTTGACCATGGCCGGAATAGGAAGAAGAGAGAGACGAGCGGGGTTGTTGCAGTTCAGGGCGCATGGATGGTGGCATGCCGCTGCGGACGGGAGATTGGGCGTGAGGGTTTTGGTGGTGGTGTTGTTGCTGATGTGAGTAAGCTTGCTGTGGGCTCATCATCTGGGAGGCTTGATGTTGAAGCATAGATTGCTGGTTGTTTCGCATTGTGCTTGACGGCAAGTGTGGTGACTGAGCGGCCATTGGGCTTTGATCCAATCCCTGGGGCGATGAAACTGGCGTCTCACGCTCCCGGTTCCAGAGGTCCGTCATAATCTTGCCTCGATTCGCTCGCTGATGAGTGAAGTTCTTGTTGTTCTCTGCTGCATTGGAGGATTGATGCAGCACGTCTGTAATAGGACTGGTTTGCGTTTTATCTTGATAGGATGGACCCCCCATCTCCTGCCTCGGTCGCTGGATGGTGCCATAAGCTCGCAGCCGGGAATCCTCGGGCATGGGAGGGAGTCCTCCTAAGTAACCGTGAGGAAGATTTGGGCTCCCTATATTAGGGTCTGCGTAAATGATTTCTTGATGCTGGCCAGGTCCTCCAGTGTCAACAGGATTGTTGTTTTCAAGAGCGGAAGCCGCCTCCCTTGCTTTCCCAGCTCCTGGTCGCTTGTCGCCGGCCATGTCTTCCTCGGTAAAACCCTGCTTTATAGCCTTCGCTTCCCAATAATCGTCTCGGACCCTCCTTCCGTTATCAATCACCCTAGCACCAAATTGGCGGAACATGGACTTTGCAGTGACGATGGCGATCTGCCGTGATCTGTACGAATAAGGAAGAATCTCTTGGTGAATCAATTCGTCCTTCTCTTTTTGCGAAGCAATGATCTTGAACAAAGATCTGTTTTTGTTGAAAAGTAGATAGGAGTCCCTGTAGCCTAGGACGCGAGCGCACTCTGTTGCCAGCATGAATCGCTTCTCTTCTCTGTCCGCTACGTAGAATGTCCGAATCTTGAATTGACGACCTCCTTGAGGAAAACCTTGTGCGTTGACCTTTTCCTCTCCTGCATTGTCGTATTCCCTTGGTATATATTCATCCCCCTCGTGGTTCAATTGATCTGTGGTATGATCTCTGACTGTCGGCAATGCCTTGATCACTGTTTTGGTGGGCGTCGACTTCGGTGGAGACTTCTGGGTCGGAACGCCACTCACGTCCTGGGGAAGACCATGCGACTGAAGTTGCGGAGTCCGTAGCTGGTCTGGGTTATTGTGTGTTACCTGTTGCGAAGATGGAGAAGCTGGACCCTCTACGGAGAGCTTGGACTTCGGAGGCCTTCCGCGCTTTTTCGGCTTCTGATCGTCTGTGAAACCCGACAAGAGTCAGCAAGCTCTTAGGATCCTTCGCAGACGCAAGGCCGGCCATCTCCTTTGCAGAACGGTAGCCCGCATTGTTTGCTTGTGACACATACCATCTTCGGCTCCACCGCCGAACTGATCGCCACTGTGTTCTGGTGATCGGCTTCTCTTCTGACCGCGAGAATTTATGTGCGCGTTGATCGAGGACGGATTCGGTAAGACCGCGACTACACAAGAGTGGCGAGCGTCAGCTCATGCGCTCAGAGGTCAAGCAACTGCGACGCAACTTGACGTGGGTTGAGGTTGAGCAAACGATAGTCAATGCCCTTTGCGGCTGTCGCTAAGAGAAGGGCAAGCGGTCTCCAAGCGGCGTTCATTGACTGGAGGGAAAATTACCGGGCGTGTTCAATGCTGCTGGGTTGATAGTACCCGATCCATCGATCATGCTGCCTCCCATACCATTCATTGACGATGATACTGGGAGCGGCGCCGAGTACATGGTGGCCAGATTGACGTAGCCTTGTTGGTCGCCACTCTTGTCGCACCGACGGGGCCGGTGCGCCAGAGGGCCCGTTGGGTGGATGGCGGCGAGGTGGTTACACAGCAACGTGATGATTGTTGGTGACGAGCTCTGGCGCGGGTTCGTCGCATGCAGGGAGTGGTCGCGCGCAAAGAAAGCTTAGGACCCCTCTTCCCGGGCACTACCTCAACTTTACCTTTTCAGCCTGCGAAGGTGGAGTGGAGGCGGACGGGTAGGTAAGCTGGCTGCAAGGTGACAGATAGCCGTCGCGGTAATTGGATGTAGAGATATTTGGTGTGTATAGTGGTGAGTGCGACCATGCAAAACGCATTGGTGTATATTGACTGGATGCAAGGTCGCGGGGATGGGGGGTGTTGATGGAAAGTCGCCCCAATGATGATAATAATAGGCAATAATAATACTTAGTAGTCAGTCAAGTCGCATTCGATTTTCCTTCGGAGGAGGGCGGTGGATGGCTCGGGCGATGGGTAGTCTAAGTAGTTTCGGGCAGTCGATGGGCAGTGTGGCACATAATCTCACCGGTGACTTTAGGGGAGTTTGGACATTCCTATATGAAAGGGTCACCTTGGTGTTTCTTGTTCGACTTTCAGCATCCAATGGCCGATCTCGTCTGCATCTTCGAGGTTAGCTTCGAGGATCCGAGGACTGCCCGTGAATGTGGGGGGGGAATGGCGAGTGGAGGGTTCGAGGATTGCTGTGCGAAGCCGGGCTCGAATCTTGGACGCAAGCCGTTGATTGAAGGGATGGAAGGGAGACTACTCTGGATCACGACAGGTGTCAAGTCTGAATGACGGACTACAACAAAGCCCACAGGTCAAGATTGCTCTGAAACGGTGATCCTCGCGCTTTCGCAGCTATTGCCTCTTGGGGGGTTTGTACGACCCTCGGACACTGGAGTAAAGAAGAAGACTGACTGACTGACGGGATAGGTTGTACAAGGCTTGCAGGATCTACCATGGCTTGAAGAGTCATCACGAAACATGAACGTGAATGGACATCGGAGCCGGACAGGCTGGCGCAGTTTTTGAAAAGGGATCTTCAAGGCTCAGGAGGATCTAATGCTGCAAATGCAATGCACGATGCCGCTCCACTGGAAAAAGGCGGAGTGACACGCCGTGCAGGCAGCAGGAGCCAGAACGTGCAGTTCATAGCCTTGGGCCCGAGAGACTCGGCCTTAGCCTCGAGCTCCACACACCCACGACACCCACACCCCCTCCCCCCCGGTCCCCTTACATGACCAAAAAGGGGTCCTCGTGCGATGTGCAGGTGACTGTCTATAATCGCAGTAGCCGCCGTTCATGGGGTCCAGGCAGATCATCCAATACGAACCAAGCACCCTTTGACTTTCATACAGGGCATTCGCCCCGTCGACTTCCATGATGACGATTATTTACAGCTATCTCGGACTCTAGCAGGATAGTGTGTGAAGAAGGTAGTGATGAGCCGGCCTAAGATCTACAAGTTCCATGGCTCCGGGGCGGGGACGGGAATATGACGCGATGGCAAAAGGCGAGGAGCGGCATGGGATCTATGGGCAAGGATAAGTCTACGTATCCAAAGTGTAAGAACTAAGAAAAGAAGCTGATTGCAGGCGTGATTGGACGGGCACGCCACATAACCGCAGCTCCTTCCCGAGGACTCATCCACTCGCAAGATTGCAAGGAAAAGTCGAAACTTGGGTGGCTTAGGACTCGGGCGAACATAACGCATGAGAAACGCGGGTACGTCGATCGTCTGCGGAAGGGAAGGAGCCTATTGCTATTATCAGGGCAGTCATGATCATGCAAGTAGTACAGCCGCGGTCAAATTTGGAGGGGGGAGAGGGGGAGGTGGAGGGAGGAAGGGAAAAAGGCGAGGTGGCGGTAAGCTTGGGTAGGACTCGGGGATACGAGACACAGTGACAAATCCTTTTTGGTGATACGTGATGATACGTGATACGGGCGATACACGAGTGAACACGAATAATGTCTGGGTGCAAGCAAGCGAAAAGGCTAGAATCTGCGTGGGGTAATTGAAGTAGCTGGAATTCCATCGTCGACCGTAATCCGTCAATTAATTGGCTCATTTTCCGCCAATCATTCAAAGCATTGGTCAACGATCGTCAAGGCAAAAGCGAGGCGGCGTTGCCTCCTGCTGCGCCCTTTTTTTTCCTACTTTTGATTTTTGAAGACGAAGCCTCGCGTTTTCTTTGTCAGGTCAAGGAGATACTTTTCCTTCTTTAATGGTTAATAATGTTAAGTACTTTAAAAGTAATGATTGAGCAAATCATTTCGAGGGTCAGCCTTTCTTCGGGAAGTGGTGAGCTCATTCTGAAGATTGCCGCGGGCTGAAGGGTGCGCCTCTTCGGGAAAATTAGTACATAAGCATCATCAAGTCCGATAAGCCGTATGGAATTGAATTGCCTGATTTGCTCGTGCCACTTTGCATTGGGATTGCCTTGCAAAGTTGCGAACCCTCGGCGAACCATGCTCATTGGTATCTGGGATCCGGTATGGTATGTAGAGGCTAAATTAGAATAATCCACAGCGGCAGAGAGATCCAGACCGTCTTCAATCTGGTCACCTTGTGCGAGAAAGGAGAAAGGTATCTCGTTGTCATTGGCGAATTGACGCCCGGTTGCTCTAGAATCGCAGTGAATTCTGCCACCGGTCTCCAGAGGACCTATGAGATCAGAGAGATGACCGCAATGAATTTGGGGAAAGAACGTGACAAATGTTCCTAGTTGATGACGCGGGCGGAGAATTACCGGAGAAAGAGCCACTGGATTGCTTTACCTATGTTATAATAGCAGACAGCTGCTCGTTTCACAATCTGCGAGCAGGACCGTTAGCAGATTTGCAATGACATTTGATATGAACCCTTTGCTCTTCATTGAAGTAAGCCGTGGCCTCATCTCGAGGCTACAAGGCTACCAAGGTAGCGTGTCTCTTGACGGCGTTGACGCAGACAAGGATACCGTAGGACAACAATCCTGATGCTGACAACCTCGCTGACTAGCTAGATCAGCCAAGCTACTAAGCCGCTGCCTTGAGAATGCAGAGCCGCAGATCAAGAAACAAATGACCAGTGAGCAGCGACAGACTTCGCTCAGCTCGGACAGATGACTTAAATCAGCTGACACCACACCCTCATGCACTGGACAGTCTCGCTAAGGTAGCGCACAGGCCATTGAGAACCAAGGCCCGTCCCGAAGATGCATATGCAAGTCAATGCGCAACATACCCTGGATGCTCCTTGCATCAGCAGACGAGAGAGACAAGAGAGAATGTTAGATAGTACATACTCTACAGACAGAACACAAAGAAAGTTGGAGGTCATCTGATACATCGGATGAATGCTAGCTGGAGCTGTAGGCAATAGGCCATCAAGCTCCAGCGCTATCTATCTACACTCCCAGCAAAACGGCCTTCACAGGAAGAATCTTGTTGAAGATTCTCGTCGAACGCCATGTTGCGTCATATATGCTGCCCTCTATGTAGATCCCTTGATCTGTGTTGAATGTGGTGAACTTTTCCTGCGGCCTGCGCTTTGAGTTGTTGAAAACAAAGTGCCGAGAGGGTATAATCGTAATTTTCGTGACATGAGGAAATGCATGTTGAATCGTACAATTGCCGTGACAAAAAGAAAATGCATGTTGAATCTTACAGCGCGTCGAATATGTAGGTCTAGAACTTCAGGGTCTTGGGCTTTTCCCAATTGAAGTCCTGGTTGGTGAAATGGCCGTTCTTTGCCGTCTGGCAGTAGATCGGCTTGGTAAGGTCAAGCTCCTTCACGATGACGCCTGGCCTCATGTCGAAGTTCGCCCGGATGATGTCCACCAGTTCCTCCGAAGACCGATCTGAAGTGCCGTAGGTGTCGACAAACATGGACAATGGCTCGGCGACACCAATTGCGTATGACAACTGGACCAACGCGCGTCGTGCTAATTTGGCATGGACAAGCGATTTTGCAATCCATCGGGCGAGATAGGCCGCAGATCGGTCCACCTTAGAGTAATCCTTCCCAGAGAATGCCCCACCTCCGTGAGCACCCCAACCTCCATACGTGTCCACAATGATCTTGCGGCCCGTCAAACCGGCGTCTCCTTGCGGTCCGCCAATAATGAACAGTCCAGATGGTTGCATCTATAATCTGTAAGCGAAAGCTCGAGTAGACATCAGTGAGGTTGATTACATGGTAGACCGTTTGGTCATCGAGATACTTGGCGGGGATGACCTTCTGTACGATCTTCTCCTTGATCTCTTTCCGGAGCATCTCGGTCGAGATATCTGGGCTGTGTTGGGCACTGACTACTACTGTATCCACTCTCTTCGGGATAACAGCACCGCCGTCACGTTCGTACTCGATTGTGACTTGAGTCTTTGTGTCAGGCCTTAACCAAGGCAGAGTACCATCATTCCGGGCCTTCGTCATCTCTTTGTTCAGTGCATGTGCAAATAGAACAGTCAAAGGTAGATACTCGGGCGTCTCGTCAGTCGCATAGCCGAACATTATGCCTTGGTCTCCGGCACCTAGCTTTTCCAAAGCCTCATCGAGCTGCAGACCTTGGGCAATATCGGGGGATTGCTCCTCTATTGCTACCAGGACGTTGCAGGTCTTGTAATCGAATCCCTTGTCCGAGCTATCATATCCAATGTCTTTGATGGCGGTGCGAATTATCTTTTGGTAATCAAGCTTTGCTTTGGTAGTGATCTCGCCAAAGACCATAATCATGCCTGCGGTAAGTGTTAGCGACGTCAATAGGTATCATACAGGCTCTCGGCCAATTCACTACTGCTTACCAGTCTTTGTGGCTGTCTCGCAAGCCACTTTCGAGAGGGGGTCAACAGCCAGGCAAGCATCTAAGACTGCGTCTGACACCTGGTCTGCCATCTTATCCGGGTGCCCTTCCCCAACGGATTCCGAGGTGAAGAGGAAAGTGGGCTTTTTAACGCCATTGGTATGGGGTTGGGTGACCA